ATTAAATTTTTAAAATAACACTCATTTTGATGAAAGTTTATTCTACAATAGCAACTATTATGAAACTGAGGAAGTATGATCTTGAAAACTATCAAATTTCAACAAAAATAATTTTAAGCAAAGCTTTATTAAAACATCTCTGATGAAGATATGTAATTGATACTAGTCTACATTTTTACATTATTATAGAAACAATGGATTTTTCTCATCTGAGAGAATCTGTAAAAAAAAAGTAAACGAAAAATGTCTCAAATCGGAAAAAATTCTTTTTAGGTTTTAGCTATATACAATTTATATATCTGTGTAATGATCGATACTTAAGAAATTGAGTTTAACCCCCAGCATGATAAGGAATAAACATAGGTAATACGATTATTCTATGAATTTATTTCTGGACAAAACCTTTTCCGAAACAGAACTTCTTCTCATTTGATAGAGTGCTTCTCATCTCAGTACAGTGTACACTAAATATTTGACATTTTTAAAATTTAGAATCTATATTGTTTTACCGTAATAACACTAATATCTAGATTTTACACTAACCTTATATAAGAAGAACTTTTTTTATCTAAGAAGATTTCGTTGTAATATTCATAATGATCAGTATTTTTTATTAATCATAATGATCAGTATTTTTTATTAATCATAATTATCAGTATTTTTCGATTTTCGCTTAGTAAATGATTTTTGATCATAATGATTTTGCCTTACGGAGATGTGTCAGAAGCATCGCCCAGGACTAGTGTTTCTTTCAGAAGCAAAGAATAGGAGGCTGCTGTTGCAAGACATTCAAGCCGACTTCGGATTTGATCGTTTATTTACTGTTGAGCCACTTGGTCTCAGCGGCGGTTTAGCTTTATTTTTTATGGATGATTTTCAAGTTAAGATTTTATTTTCGAATAACAGAATGATTGACATTGAGGTAGTCATTGATGGAACATTTGTTTATGGGGATCCTGTAGTAGAAAGAAGAGATCTAGTTTGGGAACGTCTTACGCGTTTCTCAACAACAAGAGATGGACCTTGGTTTATGATTGGTGATTTTAATGAAATAACTCGTCATGAAGAGAAGGAAGGGGGCAGGCAATGCACTGATAGCTCCTTTCTGCCTTTTAAGCAGATGCTCAGTGAATGTGGTATGCTGGACTTCCCTTTTACAGAAAATATGCTTTCCTGGGTAGGAAGACGGGCAGGAAATGCTACTGTTAGATGTCGTCTTGATAGGACTGTGGGTAATGAGAACTGGCTTGAGAAGTTTCTTCTTTCAAAAGTACAATACCAGAGACTATGCAGTTCGGATCATCATCCAATCCTAGCAGATATTCTTAAAAAACAGCCACGAAGGTCTAAAAATTTTAAATTTGATAAGCGATGGCTTCAGAATGAGGAACTCAGACAGATTATACTTGAAGGATGGAAATCACCAGATCTACCACCAGGTGCCAGTATTATGGAGCATATTACAAGCTGCAGGCGAGCATTATGTGATTGGAAAAGGCAACACAATCTGAATTCAGAGAAAAATGTAGAGGAGTTAAAGGAAAAGGTGGACCGATTACCCTCCAATGATGATGCCACTACAGAGGAGATAGCGGCGGCTCTAAAAGAATTGTCTGATGCCCTTAAGGCGGAGGAATTATTCTGGAACCAGAAGTGTAGGGTATTCTGGTTAAGGGAGGGAGATCGAAACACTAAATTTTTCCATGCTTTAACGAAGCAGCGAAGAGCGAGGAACAGGATAACCCAACTTTTAGATGCAGATGGGAATGTTGTGGAGGACGAGGAAGGACTGTTAGCCATTGCTACTAGCTATTTTCGCCAAATCTTTCAATCATCGAACCCTGAGGAGATCGAGGAGGCACTTTCTGAAGTTACCACTACAATTACGCCTACAGACAATGAGGGTCTCACAGCTCCGGTTTCAGAGTGGGAAGTTAAAGTAGCTCTCTTCGCTTTGCATCCTGAGAAAGCTCATGGACCTGACGGAATGACAGCCTTGTTCTATCAAAAATTTTGGGATATCGTTAAGAATGATTTAACTCGTATGGTTAATGAATTCATTTTTCAATTGACTATTCCGACTGGTCTCAATGATACTAATATATGCCTTATCCCAAAAGTTGACAAACCAAACCAGATGAGTCAGCTACGACCCATTGCTCTTTGTAATGTCTGCTACAAGATTATCTCAAAGGTCTTATGCCAAAGACTTAAAAAGGTCCTCCCAGATAGGATTTCTGAAACCCAGTCAGCCTTTGTTGCTGGGAGACAGATATGTGATAACATAATGATAGCCAGGAATTGTTTCATGCCTTAAGAACAAAACCAAGTGGGCGCAATAAGAGGATGGCCATTAAAACAGACATGAGTAAGGCATATGATCGTATGGAATGGTCTTTCATTGAAGCCACTATGAGGAAGATGGGGTTCTCAGAAGTCTGGATTACCTGGATTATGCGATGCATAACGACAGTAAAGTATAAGGTACTCACGAATGGACAGACACGAGGGAATATTGTCCCGTAGAGAGGTCTACGTCAGGGAGATCCTTTGTCCCCTTTCATTTTTATTCTATGCACGGAAGCGCTCGTTAGCCTTCTTAATCACGCAGAGAATCAAGGGAAGATAACGAGGATGCGCATCACACGTGCGTGTCCGTCGGTATCCCACCCACTCTTTGCTGATGATAGCCTTTTCTTTTGTAAGGCGGAGCCCCGTGAATGTGAAGAAGTAATGAAAGTGGTTAGGAAATATGGACAAGCCTCTGGACAGTGCATCAATTTTGACAATTCTTCTTTACTCTTTGGTAAGAGGATCGGTCAAGAGGCCAGGCAGGAGATCAAAGATACACTTGGATTCAAAATGACGCAGGAATGGGAACCTACCTAGGGATACCAAAGGATATCAGTGGCTCAAAATGTAAGATGTTTGCCTTCTTAAAAGACGAACTTCGGAACAGAGTGAATGGATGGACGGGTAGGTGGTTGTCTAGAGGTGGAAAGGAAGTAATGATTAAGTCAATCCTGTTAGCTCTCCCAACCTATGTTATGTCTTGTTTTTTGCTTCCATTGGAGATATGTGATGCCTTGACTAGTGCCATTGCACAGTTTTGGTGGAGCTCAAACCCACTAAAAAGAGGCTTACACTGGACAACATGGGACAAGTTATGTCTATCTAAAGAGGAAGGTGGAATTGGATTTAAAATGATCCGTGAGTTTAACCTGGCGTTACTAGCAAAGCAGTTGTAGAGATTGGCCCAAAATCCAGATTCTTTAGTTGCTCAAGTTATGAGAGGACGGTACTATCAACTGAATTCGCCTTTGCGAAAGCTCAATGTCAGTAGTCCATCGTATGTGTGGACAAGCATATCGGCTGCACGTGAATATTTTATATTGGGGGTTAGACAGAAAAATCACTCAGGTTATGAAGTAAAGGCATGGGAGGACCCATGGATCCCCACAATTCCAGCGAGACCAGCGCATGCATCTGCTCCTGTTCTGCATCCAAATTTGAGAGTCAGTGATCTTATCAATCAAGAAACAAAGTCTTGGGATCTGGATCGATTGGAAAATTATGTTGACGTTGCTGATATACCTCTCATACGGAGTATGGCTATTAGGTCAACCCATCGTAGAGATACACACTGCTGGAGTTACACAAGGAGTGGGCAGTACACAGTCAAGTATGGCTATTGGGTAGCTCGCAATATACTAATGAAGGAGGATGAGAATTTGGTAGATGAACCTAGCATTAAAAGGCTCCAAGCACAAGTTTGGAAGGTTAAAGCACCCCCGAAGATGTGTCATCTTATGTGGCAGATTATATCGGGGCAGGTGGCTGTTACTAGTGCGCTGAATCATAGACACATGCGATGTGATAATTTCTGCCCATGATGCGGAGAACCGGATGAAACAATTGCTCATGCAATTTTTCAATGCCCACCGGCTTTACAGGTATGGGCCTTAGCATCTATACCTACCAGCCCAACTTTATTTCCTTTGGAGAGCACATATGCGAATATGGACTATCTATTATGGCGGAAGAAGGTCATTTGTGGGCCAGAAGTAGACAGGGATCCTTATCCTTGGTTAATATGGTACATTTGGAAGGCTCGGAATGATAAGTTGTTCAGAGGAATAGATAGAGACCCTTTGGAACTGGCTCGGTATGCAGAGAGTGAGTGTCTCGCCTGGTTTCAAGCTAATGAGCAGGAAGTTGTGATTACACAAGAGAACGGCGATACTGAACGTCATGCTATAACTCTACGAGATATTTGCATGATAGACGGTTCTTGGACCTCTATAGATCAATTATCTGGTTGTGGCTAGGACTGGAAGGATAGCATGGGAAATTGTCAGCTGATGGGGATGCGTAATGTGAGTAGAGTGGAGTCGGCTTTGCATTCGGAGCTGGAAGCGCTGCGGTGGGCAATGGAGAACATGCTTCAACATTCGCCATGTCAGAGCTTTGGGACGGACTGCAAGGAATTGTTAGCAATGCTCACGGATCCCCATGGATGGCCAAGCTTTTCGACGGAACTGGAGAGGATCTCGACGTTGAGGATTTGTTTCCCAGACTTCAAGATCTCTTATGTACCTAGATCTCTAAATGTTGTGTCCGATCATTTAGCTAAGACTGCCCGATCCTTTTATCGTGATCTCATGTATGTTGGTTGTTCTATTCCGGTCTGGATTCCCAGACCACCCCAAGCTTGAGTAATAGATCAGCCTTTCGTTGTCAAAAAAAAAAAAAAATTATTCAAAATCAAGTTAATAATACAGCATGGCCTTTTCCACTTTGTAAACAATTTTTTTATTGTTTTAATTAAAAAGGCGTTTACTTTTCTTTACTTTCATTGACTTTTAGTCGTCACAAACCATAGCGGGTTCATTTTATAGATGGGACCATCGTAGTTTGAAACGCATATCGGGGAAATCGAACCATGTATCTTGTGCCTCTCTCATCTTCCTTTTCATTTTCCTTGTCCCCTTCCTCACTAGCTTCCGAGTTACTGCTGAGAGTGAAAGTCCATACTTCGTACACCATCATTGTCGAAATACGACAATGTATTCAGCGAAGAGCATTTACTTAAGCAATCTCAAACACTTTGGTCCTCTCTCTCTTCCATCAACGCCTCATACTCCACCGGATTCCAAAACGCCACGGCCCGACAAGCCCCAGATGTGGTCACCGGACTTTTTCTCTGCCGGGGTGACGTTATCAATGTATAGAGTATGGGTTAGTCGGGTTAGTCGGGTTAGTTGGGTTAAGTCCGGTTTAGTTAGATTAGATATTAGATTACATGGTTTACCACATTGGTCAAGTGTATATATATCCATGTAACAAACTCTTTTGTCAGTTAAGGAAATAAGAGATCGTTTATATTTCGAATCCTCTCTTTGCTCATGATCTCTAATATGGTACCAGAGCTCTTTTAGCTCGTTCTTCTTCCATTTTCCTTTGATTATTGTTGATTTTATCCTTCGATCATTGATTCTTCTACTTCTTCATCGTTTTATGTACGATTCGAGCTCAGATCTGGTGAAATGGTGAAGAGAGGGGATAAGATGAGAACGAGGAGCGTGATGTCAGAAGACGACAATTCCGCGAGAAAATTTCATCAGGATTTCCAGAATATCGATGAACCAAACACTGCGATGAAAATAAGCTTAGATGCGAAGAATAAGCTTGGTTTTGTTGATGGATCTATACCTAGGCCGTTAGTAACTGATAACTCATTGAAGATATGGATTCGTTGCAATAGTATGGTTAGGTCGTGGATTCTGAATGTCGTGAGTAAGGAGATCTATGATAGTATCTTATATTATCAAGATGCTGCTGAGATGTGGGATGATATGTTTCGAAGATTCAAAGTATGTAATATACCACGGAAATATCAATTAGAACAAGAGGTGATGACTCTGAAACAAGGAGACCTTGATTTGTCAACCTATTTCACAAAGAAGAAGATACTGTGGGAACAACTTGCCAATACGAAGTCTAGCACAGTGAAGAGATGTGATTGTGATCAGGTTAAGGAACTTCTGGAGGAAGCAGAGACAAGCCGTATTATCCAGTTCTTGATGGGATTGAATGATAGCTTCAATAACATACGTGGTCAGATTCTCAACATGAAGCCAAGACCGGGATTGAGTGACATTTATAACATGCTTGATCAAGATGAAAGTCAGAGAGCAGTTGGAGGAACTTCAGTGATAAAACCTACTCCATCAGTTTTTTCAGAATCAAGCACAGTTTACATATCAGAATCAAAATCCGGTTCTCCTGGCACATGGTGGTAATCATCAGAAACCAAAGTTCTCACACTGCTATCGCATTGGATATACAGTTGACAAGTGCTACAAAGTCCATGGGTATCCGCCGGGACATCCACGTGCAAAGAAAAGTAACGCGGTTGGAAATGCTAACTTGGTTGCAGTTAACAGTGTGTCACAAAACCAAGAAGACAAAGGTTTTGATGAGATTAGCAACAATATGTCTAAGGAACAACTCCAGCAGATTATTGCGTTCTTTAGCTCCAAGCTCCATTCTCCTGGTGTTACTCCATGCCAAGAAAAATCAGTAGCCTTGACGTCAACTTCTTTACCAGTAATATCCCAAATTTTTGGTACTTTCCTCACTCTCTATAATACTTCTTATTATGACATGTTGACTTGTTCTATATCTCATGAAACTGAGATGTCTCTTAGAGCTTGGATTATAGATTCCGGAGCTAGTCACCATGTCACTCATGAAAGGGATTTATATAGAGAGTATAGGAGTCTAGACAATACCTTTGTTACCCTTCCCAATGGTTATACCGTTAGAATAGCAGGGACTGGTTACATTCAACTCACTGATGCTTTATCTCTTCATAACATGTTGCATATTCCTGAATTTAAATTCAATTTTCTGAGTGTTAGTGTATTGACTAAAACATTGAATTCACGAGTTGTTTCACCTCTGATGCTTGTTTTATTTAGGCTCTTACTCAGGAGTTGATGATTGGTAAAGGTAGTCAAGTTGCAAATTTATATGTCTTAGATCAAGAGAATTCGTGTGTTAATCACATTGCTCCAGGTAACTTCTATGTTTGCTCCAACCTGGTTGTTGATTCTCTGACATGGCATAAGTGTTTAGGACATCCGTCTATGAAGAAAATTGAGTCTCTTTCTGCTATTTTAAATTTACCTAAAGATAAACATGTTAAACATTCTGATGCGTGTCATGTATGTCATTTGTCTAAACAAAAAAGGTTAACTTTTGTAACTCATAATCACATTTGCAATAAACCTTTTGAATTAGTTCATATTGATACTTGGGGTCCATTTTCGATTCCTACTATTGATGGTTTCAAATACTTCGTAACTATTGTGGATGATTACAGTAGAGCTACATGGATTTACATGCTTAAACAGAAATCAGATGTGTTACATGTTTTTCCGGGTTATATTCAAATGATAGAGAGTCAGTTTAATATGAAACTTTGTGCGGTTAGGTCTGATAATGCAAATGAACTAAATTTTACTCAGCTTTACTTGAATAAAGGAATTAAAGCTTTTCACTCTTGTCCTGAAACACCTGAACAGAATTCGGTTGTTGAGAGAAAGCATCAACACTTGTTGAATGTAGCTAGAGCCCTTATGTTTCAATCAGGAATGCCTTTAGAATACTGGGGGGATTGTGTGTTAACTGCAGTGTTCCTTATTAATCGTTTACCTTCTCCTGTCTTAGATAATAAAAACCTTTTGAATGTTTAACCTCTTAGTTCCAGATTACCATTCCCTTAAGACCTTTGGTTGCTTATGTTATGTGTCTACATCACCTAAGTCTAGGAATAAATTCGAACCGAGAGCTAAGGCATGTGTTTTCTTAGGATATCCAGCAGTTTATAAAGGTTACAAGCTATTAGATATAGAGACACGCTCAGTTTCAATTTCTCGACATGTCATTTTCTATGAGGATACTTTCCCTTTTGCATCTTCAAACATTCCTGAAGATGTCAAAAGTTTCTTTCCTCATCTTCATTTTCCTGCATCTACTGATGTTCATTCGCCTCTTGTGCAAACATCATCTGATACTCATCATCCTTGTGATGAGTTATCCTCTGCTTCTTCTGAGCTTAAGTCTACTCGACAAAGAAAAATGCTTTCTCATTTGCAGGATTTCCATTGTTATAATACTACTCCTATACATAATACTTCTATACATACTACTCCGTATCCACTTCACAATTTATCTCTTATTCGTATCTATCTGAGCCTTATAGTGCTTTTATTAATGCTATCACTCCTATCAAAATCCCTCATAGACTTTCAGAGGCTCTTGATGATAAGGTATGGCGTGATTCTATGGGAATGGAGATTGAAGCTTTTGATCGTACTGAAACGTGGAGTGTTACTGAGTTGCCTCCAGGTAAGAAAGCAATAGGGTGTAAGTGCCTCCATACAGTGAAGTTTAATCCGGATGGTACTGTTGAAAGAGTTAAATCAAGACTTGTTGGGAAAGGTACACGAAATAGGGGGGTATTGATTTCTTAGATACATTTTCTCATGTAGCCAAGATGACAACAGTCCGGTTGATTTTTGCTCTAGCTGCTAAAATGAATTGGCATTTACACCAGCTTGACATTTCTAATGCTTTCTTGAATGGCGATTTAGAAGAGGAGATATATATGCAACTTCCACCAGGATATGCTGATATTAAGGGGGAACAAATCTCACCAACTGCAGTTTGTAAACTTCACAAGTCCTTGTATGGCTTAAAGCAAGCCTCTCCAATGGTTCTTGAAGTTTTCCACAACACTGTTGAGATTTGGCTTTGAGAAATGTCATGGTGATTACACTTTGTTTATCAAGGAGATTGCAGGACAGTTTTTGATCGTGAGTGTGTATGTTGATGAAATACTCATTGCGAGTACATCTATGGATGGAGTTAAGGAGTTGATTACTGAGTTGAGTGCTGTTTTCAAGTTGCGTGATTTAGGAATACCTAAATATTTCTTGGGTATTGAGATTGCTAGGAAAGCATAGGGCATATCATTATGTCAGAGGAAGTATGTGTTAGACTTGCTCGAGGCGTCATGGTTTTCTGATTGTAAACCGTCCTCTATACCAATGGAACCTAATCAGAAATTGTATAAAGAAGATGGAGTTGTGTTAGAAGATGTCAAGCAGTATCGACGTTTGGTTGGGAAGCTTCAGTATCTTACCAATACAAGACCTGATATTGCTTATGCTGTCTCTAAACTTGCTCAATATTCCTGTACTCCCACAGATGTTCATTTGAAGGCCATTCATAAAGTTTTGCGATATCTTAAAGGCACTATTGGACAGGGAGTGTTTTATGGAGTGGATGATAATTTTGATTTGCGTGGGTTCTCTGATTCGGATTGGGGAGGTTGTCTTGACGATAGAAGGTCTGTGACTGGTTATGCCATGTTTGTTGGTAACTCTTTTGTTTCTTGGCGATCACAGAAACAGAACATTGTGTCTATGAGTACGGCTGAAGCGGAGTATCGTGCTATGAGTCTAGCTACTAAAGAGATTATGTGGTATTGTGGCGTGCTTAAGTACCTTCACGTCCCATTCTCTACTCCAGCTTACCTTTATTGTGACAACACAGCTGCACTTTACATAGCCAACAACTCTGTTTTTCATGAAAGAACCAAACATGTTGAGTTTGACTGTCACAAGGTGAGAGAAGCAATTGATCGAGGCATCTTGAAGACGATGTATGTTCGTACTCACAATCATCTAGCCGATGTTTTGACTAAGGCCTTATACCCAGCTCCATTTCGAGATATCATATGCAAGATGGGTGTTCTTAATATTTATACACCTTCATCTTGAGGGGGAATATCAATGTATAGAGTATGGGTTAGTCGGGTTAAGTCCGATTTAGTTAGATTAGATATTAGATTACATGGTTTACCACATTGGTCAAGTGTATATATATCCATGTAACAAACTCTTTTGTCAGTTAAGGAAATAAGAGATCGTTTATATTTCGAATCCTCTCTTTTCTCATGATCTCTAATAGAGGTCTCGCCGGAAGTTTGTCGTGACTGCGTCTCCTTTTCCGTCAAAGATATTGTAACCAAGTGTCCGAATCAGAGAGAGGCCATTATCTATTACGATGAGTGTATGCTCAGATACTATGACCTGAATGTTTTCTCGAACCTCACACTCACTGATGATTTTTTGATGTATAACGATTACAAAACTGAACCTAAGGATGTAGTCTTGTTCAAAAAACTGGCGTTGACCACGATGATGGAAGCTGCCTTTGAAGCAGCGAATAGTTCTCGATTGACTTCAAGGATTTGTACGAGGAAGGCCAAGTGGATTGACTTCAAGGATTTGTACGTCCTCGTTCAGTGCACACCTAATCTGACAAGAGACGGCTGTTTGTTCTGTCTGCTACAATCCATATACGGTTTGCGTTTTGAAAGTATTGGATCAAGATTTCTTTTCCCTAGCTGTAATTCAAGGTACGAACTTTACAAGTTCTACAACGAAACCGAAGTTAATACAACTCTCCTGCCTCCACCACCCTTAGCAGTGTCTACTACTCCACGACCTAGTTAAGTTTTTCTTCTTACTTTGTTTCTTTTGCCCTCATTTCTTGAAATAACCTAACACAACTATACATTTTAATATTTTATTTTCTCCTTGTGATTGATTTTATATCAACCAAATGGTCTTCTCAACGCAGGGAAAGGTGAGAATTCAAATGTGTTAGCGATAGCCATCCTTGTGGCTATTATAATGGCTTTGGTATTTTCCATAGCTGGTTATTGTTTTCTTGCAAAGAGGAAAAAGAAGACTTCTGATAATGCACCAACCTTTTATGGTTAAGATTTGAATGTTTTCAAAACTTAATTGGGTTTGATTAGTGATTAGTGATTACTGTCACTGACAGTCTCTCTTTTTTTTCTTACTAATTACTACGATTTTTATTGTGCACCAGGAGATGATATAACAACAGTAGACTCGCTGCAACTTGATTATAGAACAATTCAAGCTGCAACAAATGATTATTCAGAGAATAATAAGATTGGACAAGGTGGATTTGGCGAGGTTTACAAGGTATAATCGGTTATGTAATCAGGAGTAAATCACAATTGGATAATATTTTTAAAAAAAAATTATTTAAGTTTTGTGATATAAACAATGATTTAATAAAAATTTTAAAATATAATTTCTATAGTGATAAAATTATATTACATCTTGAAAATATATAATATGAAATATAAAATAATAGAATTAATATTTAAATATATCTATAAATATGATAAATGAAACTATACTTATAAATTTATACAGTAAATGTTGAAAATATTACTAGATAAAGTGAATTAAAAATACTTGATTAAATATTTTTGAATAAAATCACCAAAAATATTTAAATACATAAATTTAGGACAACATATGAATATGTAATAAATAAAATAAATAAAACCTGAAATAGATTATCTTTAAAAGATTTATTTGTACAAATTATTACAATAAAGTGTAATTAGTTACTAAACTATAAAGTTAAATACATTTTAATTTAAATTTTTATCAAACATTTTAATTCACTAATTAAATCAAATAATAATGAAAACTAGGGTTCCAAAAAAACAATGGGGTTGTTGCCTCTTTTTCTATGCCTAAAGCACCACTCTGGGTAGTATCACTGGTAGGACTGGGCACAAATGCTTGATACTTGGCTTGTACTCGCTACTTGACTCGGTTTGGTTTGAAAAAACAAGTACTTACTCCAATCAAGTCGAGTAAAAAGTAAACAGATTTTATTACTCGCAAGTACAAGTTAAGTATCAAATTCATTTTAATTTTTAACTACTTGGTTTGTTACTTGGTTTGTTACTTGGTTTATTACTTGTTATCCTTTACTTGTTAATTATCATATATTACTTGGTTTATTATATACTTAGTATATATTTCATTAATTAATTAAAATTTATATATTTTATGAGTGGTCACAATTATTTGTTACTTGTCTTATGTTCACTATTTGGTTGGTACACAATCCTTAAAGTCAAATACTTGTTTTGACTAAGACGTGTATCAAATAGTCTATTTAAACTGCCTTCAAATACAAACAAATATAAAATAATAAAATAAAACTAATTATTCAGTGTTGTTTGGTTTATTATTCGCTTTTGTTAATGAACAAAGATACATTTTCCTAAATTATAGTAAAAAAAACTCGTTTATAGTACAATTTTTATAAGCGATTCAAACATAAGTGATATATTTCTACAAACACTTTGAATTTTTTTCTTTCTTAATATAATTTATTTCAGAATGACTAAAAATCAGAAAAATGAAAAAAATGAAAACAATAACATATTATTTATATATAATAAATTTATTTATCTTTAAAGTTTAACTAATCATCAAATAATTTACCAATAGTTATCAAGTAATTTGTAAAAACTTTACAAATAACAAGTAATAAAATAAGTCAAGTAACTTGTAAGTCCATGAATTTTTCGCAAGTAGTTGAAACTCCAAGTACTCGTTTTTAACAAACCAAGTACAAGTCCAAAATTTGAATACTCGTACGAGCCAAACCGAATACTAAGTATACTGAAAATACCAAGTACTCGGCTTGTGTCCACCCCTAATCACTAGTATACATAGTTAACTGCACCTGAGGCTTGTTTTTTTTCTGAAACTTCGTAACACCCTAATTGGGATGACGCTTATATAAATGGATAGGGTACATTTTTGAATGGGACTGAAGTTGCGGTGAAGAGACTATCAAACTCATCAGGCCAATGTGAAACAGAGTTCAAGAACGAGGTTGTTGTTGTTGCAAAGCTCCAGCATAGAAATTTGGTCAGGCTTATGGGGTTTTCTCTACAACGAGAAGAACGGATATTGGTCTACGAATATGTGCCCAACAAAAGTCTTGATTACTTCCTCTTTGGTCAGTTGCATTTATTGCTTTTCAGTGGCTCTTTAGACTTCAAAAAATTTGGGTTGTTGCCAATATTAAATTTACCATGAAGGTACATATATAGACCCTACAAAGAAGGGTCAGCTATGTTGGACACGACGATACAAGATTATTGAAGGGATTGCTCGGGGGATGCTATATCTTCATCAAGATTCACGGCTCACAATCATGCACCGTGATCTCAAAACAAGCAACATTCTCCTGGATGCAGATATGAATCCAAAAATTGCTGATTTTGGAATGGCAAGGATGTTTGGGATAGACCCAACACAAACAGAATTGTCGGTACCTAGTAAGTCATCATGCATTTTACTTCTCATATTTAAGTTGAAATTTGTTGAACATGATGTTGTCAATATACTAAATTTTGGTGAGGATTTCAGCAGTTACATGTCTCCTGAATATATTATGCATGGCTAATTCTCAATGAAATCCGGTGTCTATAGTTTCAGAGTGTTAGTTCTTGAGATTATAACTGGTAGTTTGAATAGCAGCTTCAACGAGAGAGACGGTGCACATAACTTAGTCACATATGTAAGTTGAGGCAATCAGTTTTTCTATATATATATATATATATATATATATATATATATATATATATGTATATATTTTTTTATTTTTTTTTTTTGGCTAACATACTTTTATACATACCTCTCTTACAATAAGCAACGATTCAGAGCTGGCCCTTGGGCCAAGCTAAGGAAGCAGTTGCTTCTGGCCCTTATATTATAACAATAATTCCAGCCACATTTTACCAAAACTTCCCTTTAGTCTAGTGGCAAAATCTGAAGACTATAGGCTTTCATAGTCCAACCCAGGTTCGAACCTCCTTTTAAAAAATTTGCTTCTGGTCCTCGTTTTCCTAGGACCGGCTCTGAACGATTGTAAGAATTTATTGGTTGATTGATTTTATAGGCTTGGAGACTCTGGACTAACAAAACAGAGCTAGACCTCGTGGATCCAGTTATAGTAGATAATTGCCAGAAGAGTGAAGTGGTTCGATGCATCCATATTGTTATATATTTAAGTGAAAGGGTTTAAGTGAAAGGGTGCAATGAACCATTGCAATTGTTTATGTGAATAATTGCAACTACATGAATAAAAAGCTTGCAACTATTGATAATTACAACTTTTGGTAATAACCATATTAATGATTGCAACCTTTGGTGATAACCATATTAATATTTGCAACCTTTGATGATTAACCATATTAGCTCTTTACTAACCATTGCAATTGTTGGTATTAACCATTGCAACTCTTCATTAACCATTGCAACTATTAGTACTAACCATTGCATCTTTTGGATTAACCATTGTAACCATTGGTTGCAACCTTTCATTCTCTATATAAAGAGATGTAGGCATTATTGACAAATGACAGATAGAAAAATCAGAAACTAATAGTTAGTAAGAAAGTAAGAGAGAAATAGATTTATTGTTTAAAGATCATCAAAGATCTTTGAAGAAACACATATAAGCATTAAAACTCTATTTGTTATTCTTGTATCTTAGCCTAGAACAAGAATGTGACTTTGATTGTCTTATCCTACAAAGGGATTTCGTGTAACCCAAAGGCTTGGAACAGGGTCGAAATACTCTTTAAGGAAAGTGACCTCGTGCGCGATTCAATCATTATCCAAGTATATAATTCACAAATTTCTGGGTTACAACCCAAATACCCAACACATATCGGCCTTTTATGTGTTGAAGAGGATCCTGTAGAGCGTCCGACCTTTTCAACCATTTTTTTGATGCTCACTATTAACAATGTGAGTTTACCAGTGCCTCAACAACCAGGATTTGTCGTTCAGACTAGACCAAAAAAATATCTGCCTGATTCGAATCAGTCTACGATGACCAAGTCTGGTATAGGGTCTGTTGGTGATGCGTCTGGTCACTGATTTAGATCCTCGTTGATTATGGTGTTAACCTTCGCGCTTGACTAATTGGTATTTATTGAAAACACGTGTTGTTTTTAATTGATGAAAAGTTCAAAACTTGTTTCAGTCACCTTTAATCCGGTACGTAGTGGTTTCGTTTTGATTTGGTTTTATTATAGTTTTACAAAATCAACATGAAAACATATATCACCTTAGACATTTATGTGATTTCTCTAGTTTAAAAAACAAGTGTTGTTTTAAAGTGTTTCAGTCTATTATATTTGTTCTATCAAACTTTCTTACTTATGTGTTTATATGCTGAAGTTTGCAATTTTAATTTGTTAAATATATATTGTTTTTCTGTGAATGAGAACTTATATTTTAGATATGGGAGGCGATCGGTTTGACTATAAGCAAATGACTTTAACTTTAATGTTTACTAGGTGACCGGCCCGCACCCTGTGCGGGCATAAGTATGTTCAAAAATTTATTATAATAGTGTATCGGTTTAGGAGTAGCAGACTATAGCATGTTTTGGAGAAACCGGTCACGATGGAGAAAAGTCGGTACTCAATATTTGACATTGTATAAGAGGGTATAAAATAACGTATCATGGTGCAAGCAGTTATTGTGTGTATGTATAATTGCAAAGTGTCAAAATAATTAGTGTGTTTTACGAAAATATTTTCATTCGTCATCTAATGGATTTGCTACGACTTCTTATGCAAAGAATTGACAGTTTTCGAAGCAACAGATTGTATATTATCTTATGTAATTAGAATTATATTATATATATGTTACACCAACATATTTTTAGGTGAATAATAGTATTATGTTTAATTTGCAACCTTATTTTTGTACGCATATTAAAAGAAAATATAATAAATTTCAAAATAAGCTCCGAAAATATAAACTAAAATTATTATCCATAAATAATCTAAATTTATGAAGTACAAAATCCCGATAAAGGTGTACAAAATCCATTAGACACCTGCAAATAAAAATTTTAGTTTGTAAGCCCTAAGACCTGATAAATTTCTGTGATAGATATAAAATAATTTCTGAATTTATTGTATCTGTAAATAATATTAAATTCCATACCGTCATAGAAATAGGCAAAATGATGGATGGTAATCAAATAAAATCTCTCTTCTACCTCATCAGTACCCATCTTCCAATACCTTGTCAAAAAATAATATAAAAATTTATATATGAAAACGGAAATTATTTGAAAAAGTATATTAAAATCACGTACCCTGACTATGGAATATTTTGGAAAACTTGTTTGTAGACAACGTTCAATGTTTTGGTCTGCTGC